AGAGCCCGGGAACTTACCCATTACACTACCTGCCGGTCCCCTATGTGTGTATTTTGAACCTGTATAAGTTACAGCCCTGCCGTGTGTTCACTTTGAACAGTTATCACCCCGTTTGTTTATATGTGCATTTTTTTTTTTTGTAAAAACAAATAGCTGGCAGGAGGTAGGCAGGGTTTGCTGACCTTGCCCTGGAGCCTGTGCCTCGGTTTCATCTTCTGATAGAAAGGCACAGAGCTCATTTTAAGTCAGTGTTTACATTTGAACTCTGGGAGCAGGTAGAAAAAGCCAAGTAGCTTCTATTGTGTATTTTTTTTTTCTTTTTTAGAGAGGTTTTTGCTATAGGGCGCATGCTCTCGCCAGAAAGACAGAGACAAAGAAATAGAAAGTGAGAAATCACCCCCCATGGGGGATGGCCATGCCACAATCCCTTCTCCTCCAGTCTCCTCTCAGGATCTTGGGCACGTGCACGCACACGCGCCCGGCATGAGTTTCAAGCCACCGGGTCTGGGACACGACCCACGGTCAACTACATGGGAGTCCAGTGACATAGCCATTACACTAACTGCCGGTCCCCTATGTGTGTATTTTGAACCTGTATAAGTTACAGCCCTGCCGTGTGTTCACTTTGAACAGTTATCACCCCGTTTGTTTATATGTGCATTTTTTTTTGAGAGGTTTTCACTATAGGGCGCGTGCACTCACTGGAAAGACAGTGAGACAGAAAGCGAGAAATCACCCCCCAAGGAGGATGGCTATGCCGCAGTCCCTTCTCCTCCATTCTCTCGGGATTTTGGGGCACGCACGCACACACGTCTGACATGAGTTTAAGCCACCAGGTCTGGAACTCAAACTGTGGTCGACTACGTGGGAGTCCAGTGACACAGCCATTACACTAACTGCTGGTCCCTATATGTGCATATTTCTATGCAGATCTTAACATTTTTTACATTTCGAAACAATTGACACTCACTCTAATTGCATCATCGGGAATTCAGATTACTTTAGACATGAGTGTCAGTCTTCTCTCACTGTAATGAGGCAGCAGTTGTGAAGTTCCTGTGAAATTTGAAGGTTTTTGTTGTCATTGGTATTTATTTTTGTTGTGTGATTTCTTATATGTAACCATTGTAAGTCTTTATAGCGTACAATATGGTTTTATAAAACATGCATGCAGTGCGTGGTCAGATATTATGATCACGTCTCTAGCCCTCAACAGATTACACAGGAATGGAAGGTTTGGTTTTTACCTTTACAGCCGTCATGAACTTTCCCCTCCTCGTGTCTCCATTTAATGGCTCGAAGATTTCCCTCCCAGCCAGCATTCGGTGAGGCGCCTGGAGCATCTAGGAGGGAAAACAAAACCAGCATACATTGTGGATTCCAGCTGCACGGTTGGTTTGGTTTGTGGTTTTTGCCCTAGGACACGTGTGCTTATTGGAGAGAAACAGAGAGATGGAAAATGAGAAATCACCCCCCAGGGGGATGGCCACAACACAGTCCCTTCTCCTCCATTCTCCTTTTGGAAGTTTGGACATGCACGCACATGCACCCAGTGTGTTTTTCAAGCTGCTGGGTCCAGGACTCGAACTCTAGTCGGTCATGTGGGAATCCAGTGCCTTAACCACCACACCACCTCTTGGCCCGCACGGTTTTTTAGTACAAGTTCCTCTGTGCTACTGTTTCCATTTCTTTAATCAATGAGAAGGTTGAAGGGAAAGTCCCACCTTGATTAGAAGGCTGTCTGTTACAGCTGACACAGGCTGGCCCCGTGGGGCTGTGGCATGCAGGACACTGGCCATAGTGTTGGCCTTGACCGGCCCTTGGATCTCGTCTTTGTGCCTAGTTTTCAGTGATCATCCCTTTCCCCATCCCATGTCAGTAGCTGATGTCTGCAAAGTGCGTGGGTGTGCCAGGTTCTTTGACTGTTTTCTCTGTCACAGCTCTCTGGGACTTGAACATAGACCCTGCTGGGAAGTGACAGTTATGAAGCGGTCCTAACCAGCTTCTGTGGGATTCATTGTTCTCGCTTTCTGTGGATTGATGAGCTTGTAGTCAGGCTTGAAGCCTCACTTCCCACAGAAGCCAATCAGCCTGTAAGAATTATGCTCAGAATTTCCAAAATGCTGAGGAGAAGCAAAATGCCAATCTTTCTCTGGAGCCGTGTTGTTTGGGAACATGACTCTCAGCCAGCTTCAGACTCCGAAGTCAAAGAACCTCCTCTCCTTCCTACTTGAAGGTCTTGCAAAATGTAGAACATTTACAAAGCCATAGGAAGAGCTGAGTAGGGGGAACAACAACAACAACTGCAACAACAACAACAACAACACTTCAGTTAAGAATAAAACTACCCGGGACCAGCAGGTGACATGGTGGTAGAGGCACTGGACTCCCACATGGCTGACCATGGCTTAAGTCCCAGACCTGGCGCCTTGCTTTCTCATTTTCTCTCCCTGTCTCTCTGTGTCTCTTCCTGGTCAAAATTAAAAATAATAACAAAATTAAAATTAAACAAATAATTGTTTAAATAAATAGATTTTCCCCTATTGCCGCCTTTGAGCAGAAACCCGTAAGCGGGGCCCCTTACCTCTGAGGCGGCTCAGGGTCACCCAGTAGTGTTGCTCGGGGCTCCGCATGCCTTTGGCCCACTGCAGCATGGCTTTTGCGCGGACATCAGTCAGTAGGAACTCCACAAACTTCCTCGTAAGTATGTAGTGAGCACTTCCAGAATAAATTGTTACATTATGGAGTGGTTCATCTTTGAATCTTCTGTGTGGAGACACACGGATATGCCCTTCAGGGCTGAGTTCAGGGTGGCTTTGACTGGTCTGGGCTTTAGCGTTTGGGGTCTGGATTACTCCCGGAGCGATGTTCTTGTCGGTCCATTTGCTCCTGATGTGCCGTATGATTTCCTTGTTGGTCTTGATTGGAAAGTCCTGTCCACGAAGGTTGATGACATAGCTCCACTGCAGCTTGGCATGGACGAGATCTTTCATACAGTTGATTTCGGCCTGTAGCCTCGGAAAGCCAGCAGAAGCTGCCTTCTCATTCTCTGATGAAATGAAAACATTTTCAAAACAGTTGACCAGGGTGTGCACTGCAGTCTTAAACTTCTTCGGGGCCTTCTCATCAACGTGAACACAGTAGACGTTCTGGGGTGCGTAAATAGCTCTGAGGAGCTGCACAAATGTAGCCAGCTCCTCCTGAATCATTACAATATATGCCAAAGAGAAGTTGCCCTCCTCTGCGGACAGGGGTCTGGTTATGAAACGCAGTCCCTGGGAAGTCCTGGAGCAATTTCCTGGCGCATAGAAATGAGCAAGGATTTCAGATCGGTGAGGGTTTTTACAGAATTGTGCAACTTGGGAGGCAGCCCCTTTCCCTTCAAATAAAGCTGAACACAGTTCATCTGGGTAAAAGCCGCAGTCAACCACTGCAGGGTAAGCGGGCTCCTCCTCGGGCTCCTCTGGAGTGGGAGTCCTTAAATAAAGAAAAATGGAGGTGCAGATGGCCATGCACACGAGGAGTCCGGGCTTTGTGGCTCGAAGCTGGCTCATACTTGGGGCTCCCAGTGTGTTAATACCATAGTTCGAAGCTTTTCCGTTGGGCCTCCTAAAAGAACAATGAATAGAGTTTAGGATGCTGTAACTCCCCCCCAACTTTATCGAAATGTACTGAGCTACCCGTGTTTCAGGTGTAGGATGTGGTGTGTGGGTGTGTACGCCGGCAGCCATTGCCACAGCAGGGCCTCCCTCTCCCCGTAATCCATCCTTCCATGCCCTTCTGTGGGCCATTGATACTGTGCTTGCTGTCGTGTGGGTGATCCGACTTAGGTCAGCCTGCATGTTCTGCAGGGCTGTGTGAGTATAATCACTCAGCCTTTTCCACCTGGGATATGATTCCGACATCTGGCCGCGTCATTGCATTGATCTCAAGTTCTCTTTTCCTGTCGTGTCCGTCATGTGGCCACGCATGCACAGTTTACTCGTTTACCTCCAGGGGACTTTCAAAATGTTTCCAGATTTTGGATAGCAGATTTTGTTTGCATCTGTTTTTATTTCCCTTGGGTAAAGACCAAAGAGTGAAATGGGAGCTCTTGTCCTTAAGACACTGCCAGGCCGTTTTCCCCATTCCCCGTACCAGCGGGGTGTGAGAGCTGTCTCTGTCTCTGTCCTGGTCAGCATTGGTGTGGTCGGATGTTGGAATTTTAGCCTTTCTGGTGAGTGTGTGGTGTGAGTTCTCTGGTCTTACTTTGCATTTCCCTGATGACTAACGGCATTAGGCAATTTTGATGTGATTGCTCTTATTCAGGCAGATTTTTTCTGCATATAGACACTGTCCTGTTCGGTATCACCCAGTTTCCTCTATGCCACTGTGTTATGTTTCAAGTCTGAGTCTTTCCAACAAAGGTGACAAGTTGAGAGGAATTTTGTGATTATGGACTTAACCCTGTTGAACTGATTTTATGAATTGTTTTAGGGAAGCCTTTAGTGACGAGAAACAAGACAGCTCTGAGCGACGAGGTGTGGCAGTGGTGGAGCTGTCTGCCTTGAGCTCTGTAGAGGTTCAGGCAGGGTGGGCATCCCAGTAGCAGCGTGTCGCCAGAGGAGTGGTGGAGGCCACAGCGGGGGAGGAGCACCCTCCAGTGGGGTGTGGCCACGCCACAGTCCTTTCCTCTATTTCTCCGTCCCATCTGGGTTTGGGGCATGCACACACATGTGCCTGGAGTGTTTTTCAAACGGCCAGGGCTGAATTTTGAACCGTGGTCAGCCATGTGGGATCCTGCTCTCTTAACCACTATGGCTACGGGCCAGCCCCCGAAAGTGTTCTCATCAGTTCATCGTATTGCATGGATCAACCAAGAATTTAGGGAGAAAAATTGATTGGGGAAGATGCCAATTTATTGTTCAAATGATCTTTTTTTCTTGTTTATGGATCCTCTCAGTTTTCATAAAACGTCACATCTTCGGTTCAGTTTTTAGAAAGCCTGTGTGCTTTTCTTTCCTTTCAGCATGGTCGAGCATGTGTCCACGTGCTAGTGAGAGAGAAATGCACCCCCTCCCCGGGGTCTGGCCACGCCACAGTCTCCTTGCTCTGGATCCTGGGCACATGTGCCCAGCATATTTTAAACTGACCAGACTGGGGACTTGAACCATGATCACTGTGAGGAAGCAGCTTCTCAGGAGCAGCCCTTACCTGCCCTTACCACTGGACTCAGCCCTTTATATTCTTCTCCTGCCCTTCCTGTGCTTCTGACAGGCGTCTGACCGCAGACTGGACATCGCGCTGCCTTGCCACAGCATCAGCACAGATGCTGTTTACATAAACTGCCGACTAGACAGCATTTTTTTTTTTTTTGAGAGGTTTTTGCTATAGGGGCGCGTGTGCTCGCCAGACAGAGAGAGACAGAGAGATAGAAAGGGAGGAATCCCCGCCCAGGGGGAATGGCCACACCGCAATCCCTTCTCCATTCTCCGCTCGGGATCTTGGGCACGCACACACACGTGCCCGGCGTGAGTTTTAAGCCACCGGGTCCGGGATGCGAACCACGGTTGACTACATGGGAGTCCAGCGACATAGCCATTACACTAACTGCTGGACCCCCGACTAGACAGCATTTTGAGCTATCCATGTGTTCTTAAACTTTAAGGCAGTAAAACTATAAATGTGGATTGTGGGTTTTAAAACTATTGTATTAGGACCAGCAGATGGCATCATGGTTACATTGCTGCACTTCCACATAGTGCGCGTGCCAGAGAACCCGAGAGGGAAATGGAGGGGAAGGGACTGTGGTGTGGCCATTCCCGCTGGGGGTGATTTCTCGCTTTCTGTCTCTCTGGTGAGCATACACACCCTATAGCAAAAAACTTTCTCTAAAAAAACCAGTAAATGAAAGATACTGTATTTATTTTCATTGTACAGTGTCTTTTCATTCACCATGCTTCCACAGTAAAAAGCAGTTCTTGCCAAATATGTCAGGTTACAATTTTACGCCAGTTCAGTAAATTTTTGTTGATTGCCCCAAACATCAGAACCAATAGCCTAATTTAAAAGACTTTTTAAAATAAATTATATGATACTGTAAGGCCAGAAGGTGTCATGGAGGCTAAGGTGCTGGACCCCACAGGGCCGGCTACGAGGGTTGAGTCCTGGACTCAGTGACTTGAAAATCATGCCAGGCGCGTGCACGTGTGCCTAAAATCCCAAGCGGAGGCTGGAGGGGAAGACGTGAGGCGTGGCCTTACCCGCAGGGGATGAGTTCTCACTTTTCCTCCCCCTTTCTTTCTCTGGCGAACATGTGCACCCTACAGCAAAAACTTTAATAATTATATATATTTATATTTATAAATATAAAATGTAATTGTAATTTACAAATGTCATATATAGTCTCTAAAATAAACAAAATCTGTATCATAAAAATAGAAACTGAGCAGGTAGGAAATACCTGTCGAAATAAAAGCCAAGCTTTTTACTTTGAATTTTGATTAAACCCTGAGCCATGCTTGGTGACGTCTCCTGTGTCACTTTAGTGTCGAAAAGAGATGTGGGGGGTTGTTTCTTGTGTTGTTTTTGTTTTAAGCTTGTCAGAGTGATGCTTCCTGCCAGTCAGCCCCACCTTGCTGGCAGTTGTACCCATGTAAACTTAGGCCTGAGGCTGAGCCCAGGGACTTGGGTATTTTCAGTGCTTTATACTAATTAAATGAGGACAGGTCCCAGGGGTGGCCCATTGTCCTTCAGCGAAACACCTGAGCTAAGTGTTTCCTCCTCCCCATTCAGAGAGGGACCTGCCGCCCTTGGCCCTCAGCTCCGTGAGCAGCATTCTCAGCCCTGGCAAACCCTCTGTGAGCAGCATTCTCAGCCCTGGCAAACCCTCGTGCTCAGCTGCACCTGATGTTGCTCAGGCGCCATGTGGAGTGGGGACTGAGGGGGCGCTTCCTGTGGCTGTCCCGACCACAAAAGATACTGTATTTATTTTCATTGTACAGTGTCTTTTCATTCACCATGCTTCCACAGTAAAAAGCAGTTCTTGCCAAATATGTCAGGTTACAATTTTACGCCAGTTCAGTAAATTTTTGTTGATTGCCCCAAACATCAGAACCAATAGCCTAATTTAAAAGACTTTTTAAAATAAATTATATGATACTGTAAGGCCAGAAGGTGTCATGGAGGCTAAGGTGCTGGACCCCACAGGGCCGGCTACGAGGGTTGAGTCCTGGACTCAGTGACTTGAAAATCATGCCAGGCGCGTGCACGTGTGCCTAAAATCCCAAGCGGAGGCTGGAGGGGAAGACGTGAGGCGTGGCCTTACCCGCAGGGGATGAGTTCTCACTTTTCCTCCCCCTTTCTTTCTCTGGCGAACATGTGCACCCTACAGCAAAAACTTTAATAATTATATATATTTATATTTATAAATATAAAATGTAATTGTAATTTACACATGTCATATCTAGTCTCTAAAATAAACAAAATCTGTATCATAAAAATAGAAACTGAGCAGGTAGGAAATACCTGTCGAAATAAAAGCCAAGCTTTTTACTTTGAATTTTGATTAAACCCTGAGCCATGCTTGGTGACGTCTCCTGTGTCACTTTAGTGTCGAAAAGAGATGTGGGGGGTTGTTTCTTGTGTTGTTTTTGTTTTAAGCTTGTCAGAGTGATGCTTCCTGCCAGTCAGCCCCACCTTGCTGGCAGTTGTACCCATGTAAACTTAGGCCTGAGGCTGAGCCCAGGGACTTGGGTATTTTCAGTGCTTTATACTAATTAAATGAGGACAGGTCCCAGGGGTGGCCCATTGTCCTTCAGCGAAACACCTGAGCTAAGTGTTTCCTCCTCCCCATTCAGAGAGGGACCTGCCGCCCTTGGCCCTCAGCTCTGTGAGCAGCATTCTCAGCCCTGGCAAACCCTCGTGCTCAGCTGCACCTGATGTTGCTCAGGCGCCATGTGGAGTGGGGACTGAGGGGGCGCTTCCTGTGGCTGTCCGGACACCAGCCTCCGAAAGCAGTCAGCCCAGGTCCCAGCTCCCAGCTCCCAGCTCCCAGGTCCCATAAGTGGAGCCTTTGGAGACCGCCTTGCGGGGCGCATGAGTAGTGCTCACTGTTGCTTTAACTAACAGCGAGTGGATAATGGGAAAATTCCTAGAGGAATAAGCCTTTGGTGCCCAGAGGTTTTTCAGAATAGTTGTGAGCACCCTCATTTGTTTTGCAAAGGTCTCCTAGCAATTCTCTGTGAGCTTTTGTTGTTGTTCTTTTGTTTACATGCTGTAAAGTCAACCTTTTTTAGCCGAAATGAAAGTTTATTAAACATGTAACTTGTGTCACTGAATTAATTTCCAAGCAGTGTATAGCTCTGAAGGAGCACAGGCTTACTGACTGTGTTTAACTACATTGTTTCTCCACAGAAAGTTACATTTCAATTAGTGATTTTTCAAAGCTTTCAGAAGGGCCGCCTTTTCCTGTGGGTTACGGAGCAGGTATGCAAGCCTTTTCCCAGACCGGACTGTTTTTACCGTTCTAGTATCCTGTCCCAGAAACCATAAATGGTTTCGGAAATGTGCGGGGCGGAGGGGGGGGGTGTTGAGAGCATTTTAAGGCTTCCTGTGTGTGCTGTCTTTCCTTAAAATACCTTCTCTAAGCCTTGCATACCTCAGGA